GCAGCACGGCAGTCACAGTACAGCTGCAGAAGCTGCGGGACGCTCTCCATGAGGAGAGGAAGGCGAAGGATTAATGTGAGTGAGGATAATCTCATTTAAAAACTCTTACACTGACCAGTGGTGTGCAGTCATGTTGTAGGAACATAAAATGGGATTGAATTTGCTTACAGACTGTCTTGAAATCTAACGGGTTTATAAGTCTTGTTAAAATACTGATTTTACGGTTCATCGTCAGCAGTCATCAAGGGACCGTAAATTCGCAAACGGGATCTTGGTACATCGGTTTGTCAATCGAAGATTATTTTCAACAGTAACACGCCAGTTTCGTGGGCAAGATATAGGGCACAAATGCAACTACTTGTAAGCTTTTCATCACACTCGATATAATCCTAATACAATAGCAGCAGAAACGCAACAATCAGACCTCGGTTGCACCACTTGATGCATTCCCCCGTTTCTTCGCCCCTCTACCCCTCTTCTTTTTCTTCTTACCTTGATCGTTGCTCATCTCTGGCGCCCCAGGAATGATGATGTTACCCTGTGCGTTGCGACGAGATCCAATCGGGGGTGGATGCAATATACGCCTCAGCAGGAAATACAACAGTGTTCCGGTAGGAACCCTGTGACGAGAGAAAATGAGGTTGTTTCGCAAGGTATACTCGCTCAACTCTTTCTCCGAATCGAAAGTCTCAACCCTCTTAACCCCGTCATAGGCGTCTGTCAGGTCAACAAGGTTAACGTGCTTGTTCAGCACGGCCTGAACACCGACTATAAGCTCAGATCATTAGCAGAGGCACGGATACGCACCTCTTTTGCCATCTCCAGTTCATCAGGGATCGGCTCGATTCTGAGCGTAGCGCACAGTGTTTGCCATCCAGTAAGACTATTCACATCTTTCCCATAGGTCTTGTTGAACTGTGCCACCAAAGCCTTCTGGAAGCGATTCTTGGCATCGTGCTTGTTCCAGTTCTGGTCAGCCTCGCGCATGAACTGTTCGAGTCTCTCATATTCGGTGTTGACTGGTTGAGTTGGGTCATAGATGAACGCAGGGGAAAATCGATCGAAGAAGGTTTGTAGTGGTCCTTCGCGCCTGGCTGCAGTCTTCTTCTTCGCCCGTTTCTGTAGAAATGTGAGTTTACTTTTACTGTCCTGCCGCGAGTGGCGAGTACTGCTGTACTTACGAGCCTTCTTTTGTTTCTTCGCTTCTCTGCAGTCTTGTCGTTGATAGGTTCCTGTCTCGCAGTGGTCTCGGCTGCCGTTGCAGGGGGAACTATGTGCTCTGCGGACTCAGCGGCGGTGTTCAGATCTGACATGGTTTGGGCCAAATAAGAATAAGAGGTCGAGAGATAAACAGGATCAAGTCCGATGAGACTTTAGTGGGCTCGGCTTGGGCGTGTGGGACGGGGAAGAGCCTGTTCAAACAAGGTTTGTGCCAATGTATGGCCCAAGTAGACACGCGGCAGCTTATCATCAGGACATCAAGATTCTGTTTGAACTTTGTGGACAACTCCACTGCCGCAAGCGAATGGATTTGGTCACCGCAGTCTGAAGCTAATTTTATTCGCGCCTCGTGTCATTGAAGCAAGTCGACCGATGTTGTGTGCCCAAGCAGAGGTGACATTGTTCCCTTAATGGCTGCACCTGGTGTAGACATGTGAGTGATTTGTACGATATCACGTCTATTTCATCAAGGCTCAAGTAGTGCAATACAGAACAACTAGCACAGTCTATGCCAAACGGCTTCAACGACACCTCCTGCCCTCTCGACCCCCTTGAAATTTATATTTTCCTCGACTTCCATGGTAACTAGAACGGATCTCACGCAGCAGGAACTTCAGCAAGCTCCCCGCGTACGCGCTATCTAGTGGGTAGTACCTCCTTTTGCTGTTCGTATAATCTCTTAGTTCTTCCAATGACTGGAAAATGGGCCTCTTGATCTTGGGATTGTAGAAGTGGTCTGTCAGATCGACCAGATTCACATGCGTGTTGATCACCTTCTTTGTGTACGTTAGCAGAAGCAATGCGGGAAAAGCAAGAGGATAAAGTACAACACGTTTTAACAATGCTATATCGGGTATGTGTGTTCCGGCGATGAGAAGGGAAACGCCGACTCACCTGCTTGGCTTCTTTCAGGGTATATGGTATTGGGGGGATGCCCAGGGTGGCGCACAGCCCTTGCCAACTCAATAAGGACTGTTCTTCTGTCCCAAAATTGGCGTTGAACTGATGGGCGAAGGCGTCCGCGAACTTCGCATACAATGCGTCGTCCCTCATCTTGCGAAGTCGTTGGAACTCTGCGGTGGTGTTTTTATTCGGGTTGTAGATGAATTGTGGCGAGTATTGGGCGAAGAAGGCGTGTAGTGGGCCCTGGCCATTGGATTTCTTGGAGTCCTGGTGATAAGGTTTGTAAAATGCTGGTGTGGGAGCTCCGCTCAAGTACCTTGGACATATTCCTACTA